AATTGTATTAGCAATAAGCAATTATTCTTTAGAGAAATACATATCAACCTGAGATTTTATTGTAATGATATATCAAGTGAATTCAACGATTCCCAACTCTTTTTAAATATAAACTTTTCAGAAGAAATTTGTCTTAATTTATAATTTCAAACACACCCCTCATCAATTTGGTTCTCTCAAATAGTAGTCAAAATATTACAAGTCTGTAGCTTAGATTGTCCAATCTCTATGGGACAATATCATAAACTATACTAGAATTTGACTGTCACGACCCAATTCCCACCCGGTCGTGATGGCGCCTCTCGTGAAGACAAGGCAAGCCAACAGAACAATCAACACTGCTTTTGACAATTTCTTAGCACAACAGGTTTAAACCATAGATATTGATTAATCATAAGTGCGGAAATAAACGTAACATAACGGGGAAAAACCATCCCAAACTCAGCCCGATGATCGGGGTGTCACAAGTCACGAGCTACTACAGAGTTGGTGAAAATACTACAAGTCTGGAAATATAGTCTGAAGATGAATAAAATGTGCAGAAGATAAGGAAGAAAACGGGGCTGTGGACGTCGACAACTACCTCGTCTCTCCTAGTCCGCCTGGTCCGGAAGGAAATCAGCGCTCAGGTACGAACTCAGCTGTGCCTGTCTCTGCACACATGGTGCAGGAAGTAATGTGAGTACTCCGACCTAGTGAGTAATAAAATTGAATAACGACTGAGAACATAAAATTCCACAAGGGCACAAATAATGCTATCTCAAGCAGCAACATCAGAAAAAAAAAACAGTAGAAACCAGTGAAATATAGTAAGGAAATCCTTTGAAAACAGTTAAAAAAATCAATCATACTCAACTCGTAAGTCAGCCATTGTTACCTGACCAAACGCGTGTTACAGTGTCATTGTTACCTGACTGGTCAGTCATTGTTACCTGACTGGTCAGTCATTGTTACCACTGTTCAATATTTAATCACTCTAGATGGGTACCCGCGCTCACTGTGGGTGTGCAGACTCCGGAGCGGCTCCTACAGCCCAAGCGCTATCAACAAGGCCTGAAAGCCTGAATAGTATCAATACGAGGCCTGAAAGCCTCCTCGCCTCACTCGTCATGCCCTCACATAAGGCCCTCGGCCTCAATCAGTCCAGAAATAGTCAACAGCCCCTCGGGCAACAGTAAAGCAATGAGACTCAGCTCAAACAATAGTTCAAATATCAGTTTAAAACTCCAAGTTTGAGTAAATATGGCTGAGTTCAAGAAAACAGTGTAAATCACATGGACTGAGTTCAAATAATATTTCAAACAGTGAGGAAAACAGTGATGATAGTTCATAAAGAGTTCAAACAGTCGGCAATAAGCCCCAAATATGGCAATAATCCCAAATCATAGTGTAAACAACAAGTCATTGCTAATACGCGGTAAAATATTATCCGGACTGGACCAAGTCACAGTCCCCAATAGTAAATGACCCCGCGCTCGTCATGGAACGCGTGTCTCATCTCAACATAGCACCAAGTTGTGCAAATCCGAGGTTTCAAACCCTCAGAACATCATTTAAAATCATTACTCACCTCTAGCCGGTCAAAGTCTAGCTCGCTATGCCCTTTCCCCTCGAATCGCCCTCCTCGCGCGTCGAATCTGATCAAGACCACAAGAAATACATCACAATAGGCTAATGGGTCATAACCCAATCGAAAAGACTCGAAAAATATCAAAAATCACGAAGTTGGCAAAACCCGAGCCCCGGGCCCACTTCTCGAAAAATTACGAAATTCACATCTCCGGATTCCTCGTCTCGCCACGAGTCTATACATATCAAAATCATCAAAATCGGGGTCCATTTGACCCCTCAAATCCCTATTTTAAAAACTCTTAAATTCAAGTCCTAAACCACCATTTTTGACCTTTGATTCCTTGATTATTCAGTCCAAATTCATGTTTATACACCATAAAATCAAGCTCTAAGTCCAAGAGTTCATACCTGATAATAGCCCTCGAATCCCTCTTCAAAATCGCCTCAAAGCTCTCAAGGTTCGGAGTCCAAAATGCTACTCTTCCAAAAATTCGCGAGGAAGATGTTTTCACTTAACCTGCCAGTTATTTCCGCTTCTGGCGGATTAATTCCGCTTTTGCGCCTTCCGCTTATGCGATCAACGTCCGCTCCTGCGAACTTTCACTTAAGGCGACTTTCCGCTCTCTGCGGTCCAACTTCGCATCTGCGGGACCGCTTAAGCGACCCAAACGTCCCGCTTCTGCGGAACCTAGACATTGCTCATCTCTCTCTTGG